TTTCTTAATTAATTAGACCATTCCCCTTGACTGTTCTCTTAAGAGCCTGAACAAGAACTCACTTTTTAACAAGGTTGATGTGACCATTCGGTTTTTTATTTTTATTTTTTTTAATTCTCACCTGAAGATATTCTTCCATTTATCTTCAGAAAGAGTGGGAGGGAGGGAGGGAGGGAGGGAGGGAGAAAGAGAGAGAGAGAGAGAGAGAGAGAGAGAGAGAGAGAGAAACATCGATGTGAGAGAGACACATTGATTGGTTACCTTCTGCATGACCCCAGTCAGGGCCAGGGACTGCACTACTACCAAGGTACATGCCCTTGACTGGAATTGAATCCATGACTCTTTAGTCCTCAAGCCGATGCTCTGACCACTGAGCCAAACCAGCCAGGGCTGGATGTTTTTTCATAGCCAAAGATAGTCCTATTTCCTCTCCTCAAAAAGGAAATGAATTCTTAACAATTAAATTGTCATTATGCTAAGCAGGATTCATTTATTTCCATTCATTAATAGTGAGCACCCTCACAATTTTTCAACAACCAATGCAATAATGGATTCAGGCAAAAATCATCTAAGTGATAAGAAACCCCATTTGTGATTTGGTGAGCTTTGATCACATACATAGTTATTGAGTGAATGAAATGCATTATCTTCTAGAAAATATCTCATGGATAACTTATCCACAGGGGTTTTCTAGCTGTTAGTAAAATAATACTTTTTGTACCACCCCTCTTGTCCTCTTGTCCCACGTTCATGTGCTGGTCATTGTTACAGCAGCCCCCTCTGCACAGCTATGACCTGGCGGTGCCGTGTCTCAGCTGCAATGCCTGTCTCTCACTTTCTGCCCTGGGGCTTCTCTGCCACCACTCCACTTCTTGGGGCAAGTATGAGGGAATTTATAACCCCATAGACAGCACATGCCCTTGGAGAACTGGAGCGTGGGGGTAATCTATTCCTTCACCTCGTGGTGGGAAGATCTGAGGCACATGCAGGGCTCCTCAGAGAGCTTTCAGAAGAAAGGAAACCTACTTGCCTGCATTGCTGACCAGCTCAATCCACCACCTTTGAATGGGCTTTTCTCTTCCCTGCCTAACTCTTCCAGTCCTTCAGCAATGCTTCTTGGGACCGGCATGCAAGTCTTTGTATCAGGCTTTGATTTTTTGGCAGAATCTGGACCAAGACAGTGGCATCTCTCTGTGGTTGTAGAATACGAAGAATTGTTATTATTACAATGACCACTTAATAAGAGGTTGTGTGGTGTCTAGAAAAATCACTAGGCGAAAAGTTAACAGAATCTTTCTTCTTGTTATGTGGCCTCTGACAGGCCATTTAGCCATCTGGTGACTGGTAAGGCTACAGTGATGAGTTATGGGGAAGACACGTTGGTAGGTGTGTAGGGTTCTGTTAGCTGGTTGTAGGACTGTGGTCCCTGGTATCTAGTATACAGTGTTGAGAGTAGCAAGATAGGCCCGAACCTAGTGGTGCTGAGAGGCTAGGTGAGTGTTCCAGAGAAGGGTTGTTGGTGGGATTTGGGAGGTGCTCAGTTATTTGAATTGAGATACAGAATAGAAACTATATAGTGATAAGGAGGCCTCTTCTAATCCACAGCGGGGATCGAAATACATGTAGGAGCAAAGCTCTTATCAGAAGGTCAGGAAAGGCACAAGGGGTTCTTGGTGCAAAATTCCACAGCATTAAGCTGGAACTTATTAAATTGCATCAACCTAATATGAAAAACTAAAAATGGGGAGTTGTCCCAACTCAGAGAGATGGGAGAATAAACAGCTGGATGCCAATTGAAGTCTTGCATGCACAGGCTAGTTGCACACTATAATTACTTGTTTTATTGTATTGCTCAGGGTAATTCTGTGACTTTGAGTCTCTGTGGTTAGCTATCCCAGGGACTTAGGGCATGGGCAATAGCTGTGCTTTCTGCTAAAGATGTTGTAGACCTTATTAAATCCTGTCTCCTTACGGATATCCCCAGGGAACACTTAATGAATGATGCTCCCCTTAAGAAGAAGAATAATTAACAATAGCCATATTATTCATATTAATTTATAGTTACTGGTTGCTATAATTAATGCTATTTATGAAAATTATCATAATTATAGCACTTTATAATTTACAAAGTATTTTCCCATCCATGTTTTTATCTGAATATTTTTTGTTGTTGTTGTTAATCCTCACCTGAGGATACTTAATCCATTAATTTTTAGAGAGATGGGAAGGGAAGGAGGGAGGGACAGAGAGAGAAAGAGAGAGAAACATCAATGTGAGAGAGACATATCCATCGATTGGTTGCCTCCCGCACTCACCCCCACTGGGGCCGGGGGATCACACCTGAAACCCAAGTACATGCCCTTGAATGGAATTCACACCCACAATGCTTCAGTGTATGGGCCGATGCTGTAACCACTGAAGCACTCCGGCTAAGGCTACCTGAACTTTTTAGTAGCCCTCTGTCTTAGGTATGTCAGGTGATATTCTTCTTATTTTACCAGTATATTGTGCTGTCGATGAGTATATGGAAAACACTTTTTAAATTTTTATTTATTATGATGTTTTATATCTGCACATGAGGGAACGGGGCCACACATTTTTCGGTTGCCTTCCATAACAATAATGTCCTTCCTTTCCTTTCTGTACTTGGACCCAATGTCAGGATATTCACAAGGATTATAAACATGTAACAGATTTTCTGAATTATATCACAATGTTTTAATTATTAATTTCAGTGGGATAAAGATGAGATTGCTTCTGATAGAAGGATTAGCTCTTCCAAAACATCTGTTTCTAAGGCGAATACCCACTGGCCTTATAGAGTTAGGTCAAACTGGGAATCTAGGGTCTGAGAAAACTTAATCGACTTGTCCTTTCACTTGGTTTTTTGGCTGTGGCAACAGAGCTGAGGAAAATCTCTCATTTTTCAAAGGGGCAACCTTCAAATCTGGGCCCTACAGTCTGAAATACACAGACACATACACAGGTGTGCATACATGTACACTGAGCCTTTTGTTTTTTTCTCTATAATATGACATATACTCTCTATACTAGAGCATCCACTGTTCTCACTGTACCTTTAGTTGTTTTTTTCCAAAAAAATATTGATGTGAGAAAAGGTTACTGACTGGACCTATGGCATCATCTGTCAGTATTCATTCATTTCTTCACTTAAACATATTCATTGAACATTTCCATGGATCAGGCCCCCCACAAGATTCTGGGGAATGAGCAAGGAGCAGAACAGACATGAAGCTTACCCTCATGAAGCTTGCATTCTACTTGGAGAGACTGACGATAGATAATTATACATCAATGGTGGTATTAGATCATGATAGATAATACAAATAAAATCAAACAGGTGAGGGGAAAGAGTGCCATAGAGGTCATGCAAATACATCCAGGAGGAGAAAATGATGAGAAGGCTGCTTTCAATAATGTGGTAAAAGTTAGCCATAGTTACAGAGGTCTCAGAAAGAGGGATGCCAGCTGCCCCTGGGGCAGGCAGCAGTCACTGCGTTTGGCTTCAAGGCACCTGGACCACAGCTTCATAGACTTTGAAGTTATCAGTGTGTCTGGGTTAGATCAAGTCCATAGGACTAGTTCATGCTGGCTAAATTCACAAGAGACTGATGTACCAGATCCCCTTAGGGCTGTCTGATGCAGAGACTTAAATAAGTTCCAGGACTCAAGGAAGGTGGTATCATGATGAAGCTACTAGAATGAAAGAAACTAGTGGTCTTAATAGACAATTCTATCATGCTATCATTGCCTGATGCAGTATATTTACTAGAAAGATACATTTACTTAGACGCAGTGGTTTTCAACCTTCCTAATGCCGCAACCCTTTAAAGTTCCTCATGTTGTGTTAACCCCCAACCATAAAATTATTTTTGTTGCTACTTTATAACTGTAATTTTGCTACTGTTATGTCTTAGACAACCCCTGTGAAAGGGTCCTTTGACCCCCAAAGGGATTGTGACCCACAGGTTAAGAACCATTGAGGTTTGTAAGGTTTAATGTCAGGGTACCCTATTTTTGTTTTTTGTTTTTTTGCTGAGGATATTCTGGTTTCTTGGGTAATTTTTTTTTTTAACCTTTTTGAGACACTATCCTGATGTTTAACTGCCTTAGACAAATCAATAGGGTTGATTTGTTTATACTCACTTCCCATTATTTTATTTTTATCACATCTTGCTGTTGATGCATTTTGGTTTCTTGATGGAGTGTTAAGGATGCTTCCATTAAAATCCATGATCATAATTACTTTGTAAAAGTAATTTACACCTTACTTCATATTTTCAAATTCCAGGGCCACCTCGCGTTCTATTTTCTTGCCTTAAGCTCTAGGCAAACGGCTTGCCTGCACCTTCTCACAGTGCCTGGGGATGCCCTCGTGGTCGTGTTGCTGTCTTCGCAGCTCTTGGCAGCTCTGAGTGCAGGCAGAAGTCGGTGCTCTGACAGCATGTGAAGTCCATAGAGCTCCAGCCTCAGAATCAGCGACCACTGCCACATGCTTGCTCTGCAGCCCCGTGGCCAGAACCTGGACAGTCCCATGCTGGTGCATTTTTTAGACTCATTGCTTGGGACTTGCCATCTCTGTGTGCCACCCAGATTCCTCCTCCTGGTCTGTACGTCTCCACCCTTGCCCATCCTGTTCCAACAAAAATGCCATCATTCTAAGCCACGGTTTCTGAACACAAAGAACTTGCAATATCTTCCCAGTTGGATATGTTCCCTGAGTACAGGATGAAGACATTTACTGACTTTTATACTCATTGAAAAATAAATGTGTGACCTTAGCAAAATCACCTTATTCCTCTCGGTTTTCTTATTTGTCCAAAAGGGATCATTCTCCTTCAGATTACCTCCCCGGGATGTTGAAAGATGCAGAAAACGTTGGACAAAGCCACACTATAACTTGAGAAACTTGAACTCAGACTGATACCAATGGAAACTGGAACTTTCCCTTTTGAACGTGTCTGTGTTTCTTCTGGCAGGGAAACCCTGGAGGCAAGACCCTTGAGGAGAGACGCTCCAGCCTGGACGCCGAGATCGACTCCTTGACCAGCATCCTGGCTGACCTGGAGTGCAGCTCCCCCTACAAGCCTCGGCCCCCGCAGGTAAGGCTGTGCCAGAGTGTCCCCACATGGCCAGCTGCAGGAGTCTGATGATCTGCAAGTCCAAGCTGCTGTTTATAACCCTTCCTTTGCTTTTTGTTTAATCTTCTGTGAGTCACTGGTCTACGTTGTCTTTTTATTTAATATCAACATATGTGTGTTAACAGACAGAGACTTTAAACATTCATTTTATTAGCATTGTCTTTAAAATACCATAGCAACATTACACAAAAAGCTTATGAAAATGAGATCTCTTCTTATTCCATCACCCTGCGCTTTTTCGGGCTTTGAGTATGGGGATGCTTCGTGGCATGTTGGTAGTCTTTACAAATAGGATTTGGCGTGGCTATGTTCAAGTTAGCGTGAGGGCTGCATCCTCTGTAAAGCAATTTCTCATGCTGGACGTGGAAGGTGGTGTCAGTATTTTGGTGGTAGTTGTATGTAATGCTACGAAGGGCATGTCCCCAGGTGTTTTCTTAGGAGTTACTTCCCTGCTTCAGATTCCTGCGAGTGGGATTTCTACACTGAGGAGTGCGACCACTTTCTCTATTTTCCTTTCCAAAGGTTGTAAACAGCTTATATTGGCAGTTTGAATATACCAGTTTCTCCTCAATTTCACCAGAGTTTGGTGATAGCCACTAATCTGTATTTTTAAAGTTCAGATGGTACCGTGCGATTCGTTTTTGTATGCATTGCTTTGTGCTTGTTTTTACTTATGCTGGAGCTTGGCTACTTTTCTGCATGGCGGTTTGCTCTCTGCCGTCAGAACTGGGCCCATTGCTGGGGGCCGTTCCCAGTCTCTCAGGGCCTGAGACACAACGCCAGTCCTTTCCGGGGCTCCCTGCTCGCAGAAGACGGCCAGCAGGGCCCTGGGGGCCAACGATTGGCTGGACCTCTTGTCGCTGCTTTGTTTCACGCCTGTGAGACGCTTGCTGGACCAGGGACAGTGCATCCGGCTTGCTGAGTTTCTCGCCAGTGCTTGAACGGCGGCCCCTGGATTCACAACGGTTCCTTTCACGGATCAGAAACCAGCCCGCTGCTCTGCTGTGGGCACTGAGGGCACACGGGCGGCAGGCAGGCCTTTCTTCCTTAGACACATCCCGTTCCCTCCCCTAGACCTGCCATGGGACGGTCAGCTCGGGGGGCGCAAACAAAACACCCCGGACAGGAGCGCTTCCATAGCTCCCTCTTCGCTCTCGGCCCGCCAGGCCTGTAGGGAGTGAAGTGCACTTCATTTCTCTAAACCTACCGAGCTGCAGGTTTGGGGCAGGGGCTGTGGTCTTCTGTGGGAACCCTTAGGAGAATAAAAGTGGCCGGTTGAATGGGAAATAATTCAGAGCCCATGGTCATCTTCCAGGAACTCATGATATTAAACTATGGCAGATACTGCAGAAACGTAAGGAAGAGAGCGATGAATACTTTTGAGAGAGATGGAGTCTGAGAAGATTCATCAGAAGACTTGTGTGCTCAGACTGAGGGGTGGGTGCAATAGTAGTGATAATAGTAGTGATGGAAACAGTAATGGAGAACAGCCCGAGCCTCAGAGGAGAAGGTCCAGCTGCCAGGTGGCTGTGGACGAGGCCACTGCAGACTGGAGGTGGCTGTAGGACTGGGGTCTCCTGCTGACAGCAAGGGGATGAGTCTGAATGCCCGATTGAGCTTTTGGTCTGTCTTTTATAGATAATTGGGAATAGTGGAAGGTTCTCAAAAAGGGCAAGACTAAATTTCATTCCAAAAAAGGAACGTAGGAAGCAAGATGGGCTCTGGAAGAATGCAAGAGCCTGGGTCTGAGAAATTCTCTGGTGAGCCCTGATTCCTTCATAGCCTCTGGCTGTTGTGTGATGTTCAGCAGTTTCCCTTGTCCACGGAAGCACGTGCCTCAGGCTGCTTCTCAGGACAGCGAGGCCACTGAGTGTGCCCCTGGAGCCACCTGTCTGTGACCCCCTCCTTTTTTAAAAATAAGGTGTTTACTTAATCATCTTATTTCTTGCCCTGGCCAGTTTGGCTCAGCGGTTAGAGCGTCGGCCTGCGGTACGGAGAGACCCGGGTTCAGTTCCCGCTAAGGGCACGTACCTCGGTTGCAGTTTGTCCCCGGCCCTGGTTGGTCGTGCGGGTGGCAGCCACTCGATGTGTCCCTTCACGTCGATGTTTCTTTCTCTCTCCCTTCCTCTCTCTCCCTCCCACTCTGTCTGTACAAAAAATGGAAAAATATCCTCGGGTGAGGATAAAAAAATAAATAAATAAATAAAATAATCATCTTATTTCTTCTAAATTATTATTATTTTTTAAATATATTTATATATTTTATTTCTTAGAGAGAGAGGAAGGAAGAGAGAGATAAATATCGATGTGAGAGAGAAACATCAATCGGCTGCCTCCTGCAGGTCCCCCAGTGGGGATCGAGCCAGCAACCTGGGCATGTGCCCTGACCGGGAATCAAACTGAGACCTCTCAGTTCATGGGACAATGCTCAAACCACTGAGCCACACAGGATGGGCTCTCCTCAATTCTTATGCCTTAATATATACTGGGGAGCTTCTGCTTAGAGGATGCTGCTTAATATAACCTTCATTCCTTAAGGCTGCATCTGCATATACCTCCCACAAACCACTGCATTTTAATGGGTTTATTCAGCAGCTACACTTTGTGTGCACAGTGAGACTGTGCACACAAATTCATACTCACTGATATTCGGACAATGCTTTGCTGGTTGGGAAGCACTTGCACATCTATTCTCACTTGAATATGGCTGGAACTCTGATATGGATGAAATGCCTATTTGGAGTCGAAGAGACCAATACTTAGAAGGTAAGTGGCCTGTCTTAGGACATAGGATTACAATATGAGCACAGCTGGACCCTGAATTGACACCTGTGTTTGATTAAGTTCTAGACCCAGATTGAGGATGTCAGTAGTTTGGAAATATTTTTATCAGTGGCAAAGTCTGTGAAACAGTGTCCTTTGAGGCTTTCTGATAAAAAGAAAAAGATTCAGAAGGTTTTAAATGAATAATGATAATTATTAAGTAGAGTAAGTTGAGAACTGAAGTAAAAATCTGCTTCCGATGAGCCTGTTCCACTCAGAAATTACACAGTGAGCTTCTCTAACTTTTTTATTATTCTGATGTAGGAAAGCAAGAGTTAATAGGGAGCTACAACTCATTCTTCTGAATTATCTTCACTCTGGTGGAAGTGAATTAGATGTGTTAGTGTTTATTGGTTAACATAATTATATGCTGGGAGAATGATAATCACATACCTAAAATACTAAAAATACGTGCCAAAAAAGATGATGTCTGCAGGACTGTGTTGTGTTGTAATTAAGTGATACTTTAAAAGCCCTGGAAATGTAGTGTTAATACCCAACTTTGATGTTTCCATTTTTGATCCAAAGCAAATTACAAAACCGATTGAATCACCTGACTACTTAAACTAGGCTAGTAGGGCTATGATTTCTCATTATTCAAGCATGTGTTGTGTGCGTTCCCAAACCCACATCTGAATCACGTTTGTAGGGCTGCTTTGACTAATGGACCCAGGGAAAATTGTCATATATGTGGAATATTTTGTACTGTTCGAGGTCCAAAGGAACTCTATTCACATAACAACTTTGAAAAATGTTTATTTTATGGGGCGTTTTACTCCTTTTCCCAAAAGAGTATTTTCTACTCTGAGATTTCCCAACTTTAGTTCTTTTCATTTACTTATTCATATGTTTACTTGGGAACTGTGGCTTAATTTCACATTTTCATTCATTCACCTGACATTTATTGAGATCCTATATAAATCAGGCATTAGAAACATAACAGTTGGTGTCAACATGTCTTTGTTCTAGATTAATTCTTACTCTTAAAGAGGAAACAAACTCATAGAAATTCAAAAGAAGGGCATCAGTGTGCTACTTTAAGCTATCATGTGGCTCACCAGATGTTGAAATTGTTGGAAAATCAAAAATAGGAATATTGACATTATACCTTGAACTTTTTCTTTTTATCCTCACCCGAGGACATTTTTTCCATTTTTTGTTCAGCTAGAGTGGGAGGGGGTGGGGAGAGAGAGAGAGAAACATTAATGTGAAAGGGACACATCGAGTGGCTGCCACCCGCACGACCCAACCAGGGCCGGGGACACACTGCAACTGAGGTACGTGCCCCTAGCAGGAACCGAACCCGGGTCTCTCTGGACCACAGACCAACGCTCTAACTGCTGAGCCAAACCGGCCAGGGCATACCTTATACTTTTCTAGGGAAGAGTCAAGAAGGACTGCACAGAGCAGAGAGCCTTTGAGTTTACTTGGCTGCCTATGTCATGGCAAAGGCATGGGATTCAAGGTGGAGAATAACGCTAATGAAAAATTCAAGGAATGTTGAAAGCGAATGTCTTGTTTGAAGGACATGTTAGTTCAAATGCTCTATAGGATGTGTGGAGTACGAAGGGCAGATGGAACCACATGCATTTCGTACCTATATAGCTCTCTTGATGCCCAAGAACTCCCATAGCAAGAGGAGGAATTTAGGGATGATAGTGTTTCTGGCTCCAGTTGGTTTGGGGGTAACTACTTTAGCAAATTGTAAATAAAATGTAAAAATATACACCTGTATCACTACGCAGAGCTATGCGATGAAACTAGCTTAGTATTTGGAACTGAAAGTCCTAGCCATTCTAAAATGTGTGTATTAGGGAGTGTTTTTAGAAGAACAGATGTGAGAAGTTCAGAGGTAGATGTGAGAAGTTCAGTGGAGTGAGTTGCAGAGTTACTATGATCATAGACTGTGAGCGCTTAGGCGGGCCTTTGAGGTCATGCAGCCAACCAACTGTTAGTTTACAGAAGAAAAGTTTTTGCTCAGAGAGAGAAACAGCACACTACCCAATGAGGCTCAGTTAGAAGCAGGGGCACTGATTCTTTCTCCTTTCCCTGACACCTGAGGTAATGCTTCTCCGTGGATGACAACGGCAACCAAGGGCTAGTGTGGCTTCCTTTAGAATTTCAGTTAGTTTACTCCA